GTCTCCTCCACCTCACGTGCTGCTCTCCATTCCTCCTCACCCTTAAGTTCCAGTAGGTTACACAGTAGTCTCAAAACGTGTTCCCAGGTAGGACAGGGGTGACCGGCCAGCCATGTAGTGATCAATTCTCGTTTCGCCTCCTCATCATCATCAAACTTTCCTACTATCTCATCATGCTGGCTCTCTGGCATGTCAAGATGATTCGTAGGAATCCCTCACTAGTCCCACAGTGGGACATGGCGTGTGACTTGTAGGATGTTGGCTGGAGTCAGGCTGGGGTCTGGAGGAATGAGAGAGGGAGAATATTTAGTGACTATTGTTTCCTATCACAAATGTATGGCAGGTAGGTAGATATTAATACACACAGCTGCAAAATTAGTAACATCCATAGTACACAGAGGTTGCTTCGTTGAACATGCATGAAGACATGATTGACACAGTGAATGTGTTAGTCCACATGTAATGGTCCAGTGCATGACACACAGTTTTAGCTGACTCTTAAGTGCAGGTCTTTGGGGAGGGGATCAGGGAGGGCAGTACACACAAGTACAATGTACATGTGTGAGTGTAGGCCAAATACAGGACAGTGTGTTGGAACTGTGTTACGACATTGTTCCTAGCTCATAAGTACAATAGTACATGTAACATGTGAGTAAATTGTTACTATGAAGGAATGCAAGCATACTATGGGACATTCTTGGTGAGTGAAGTGAGCATTCAATATTTTTTCATTCAGTATGTACTCTAATGATGTGCGCCTTGTGGGTTGCGCTGGAAAAACAGGGCTGCAGGCACTTTAAACAACTTTGACGTGGTACATGTAAACATGTGAGTGTACATTAGTATTGAGTATACAGAATTGGTGAATATATAAAAGCAAGGAGACAAGACAGGGATGACCTAATGTATGTGATGCATAGTATATACAATAATGAGGGCTACATATTATTTCAAAATGACATCGCTCACTCATGTACATTTTCCTCCACACTTTACACTATAAAAGTGGCGACAATAAAGGGCTTGTGTGGAGGAAAAATGTACATGAGCGGCAACGTCAGTTTGAAATATGTAGCCATCATCTATTGTACTACTGTACTAGGTCATCCCTGTCTTGTCTCCTTGCTTTTTAACCATCCCTATATTCACCATTTTTAACCCTCGGCGCGCATGCGCAGCGAGGGTTAGTGTACTTGGTCCGTAAGTTTTTCTGTCTGTCTGTCTGTCACCACGTTTTCTGCAACAATGCGCAACGAGACAACGAAAGAGCGATACCAACGGGTTCATTTTTAAAATGGTGATTTTCGTATAAGTACTGCGTTTAAAAGTTATGGCGTGAAAGGCAAGTGAACAAGCCAATATGCTAATTAGTATTCGCTTACCTCTAGGAAGCGAGAAATAAACGCATGCGTGTGTTACACTGGCGGGTTGCACACAATGATCACGCATTTTTCGCCGTAAATGGCACCGTTGAGCCATGGTTTCATTTTTGTGAGGGCAGCGCTCGAGGATACTTCTTGTCGTTTCTGGTGCAAATACTTTTTTGAGTTGGCAATCAGCACTCGTCTACATTCCGCTAGGCAGAGGGGGTTGACCGATCAGTGGAGAGCGCGATAGACACCTGAAGAAGGTATGTCCGCAGTGTGACACAACAGTACTCGGCGGCGTGGAACCACGCATGTGACACATAGCCCAAACCACACGCCGAGGGTTTTGTACTTTAGTGCTTTTCATTGTAATTGGAAGAATTTTCAAGTGTAAATTTTTCTTACAGTACCAGTCACAGTCTGTACGTGAGGTTTGGCAATCCCCACAGCCTTTGTTTCTCCAGATTTATAGAGATCGCGGGATAAGTTTTTCCAGCTGGGATAAAGATGATAGAGAGCGTAGTACTTCCCAGCCTCAGCAGTGACTTGATCACGATCTCTGAATTTCTCACGGAAGAGAGCAGCCCTGGCATCTGGTACTGGAGTGTCGCCAGCAATCTCCTCCCAGTCTCCAGATATGGCAGTAAAAGACTGGTATGAGGAGGTGTGGATTGAGGGATGGATCTGAGGAGAGGACCAGCCACTGCCATCAATTGAAACTAATCTATTTCCAAACATTAATCATGTTAAGAGCATGTGTAAAGTGCATATCAACGCTGCATGCACGATCCTTGCACCAGGGTGCCTTTTCATTAAGGATTTTGTATTACAATAATTTTAGTGTACTCTGTCACAAAACATCAAAGAAAAAAGAGTGCTTTATTTGCCATAATGTGCTGCGCAGTGCTCTCCAGTGCTTTATTGTGAACAATACAGTTTCCTAATATGGCTCATAGTTGACAGCAATACAGTATTAGAGAGTCGGTAGACTCTCTATATAGGGATGACACGGGTGAAATCTCACGTGATCCGCGTACAAAACGACTAAAAACTCGGTGAGAATCACTCCCTAGGCCTTCAAAACATACTAGCAATAGTCTACGGGCCCATATCACCTATACATGTCCCCCAAGAGCTCATACGCACCTTCAGTCGTCCACGCGAGAATTCGCTCATACGCGATTTCACGATTTTCGTGTCATCATATTCTTCTTCTTCTTCTTCTTTAAACCCGCTATCTCCTTACCAGTACCAGTTCAAGCACTGATTTTTTCACTGAAGGTCTCCAATTTCGCCGGAGGTGTGCACGGACATCAAGCGATCGTTTCTTTCTTGCCGCTAGTCACTACGGTAGATCATGGAGCTCTTCCATGGTCGACCTGAGCAACGCCATTTGCTGCTTACTCAGCATCAGTGAGCCGCGCGCATGCGCCAGGCAGGGGCGTTGTACGTACGTCCACATGCGCTTGCGAGCGTATACCGGGCGAGTTGGCAGACCTGCAGAGGAACTGTCAGCCTCCAGTACTTCGGCTTCTGTAAGTAAATGTGCACATTTCCAACTGGCTAGCTTGCTGTTGGTTTGCACGAAGAGCAACTTGCCAGAGTCTGCGCGGTGTTACGCGAGCCTTGCGGGCACTCAGTCAAATGGGCCTTCATTGTTTGTCCCCCCCAGGTTGTAGCAAAGCCTGCCAATGAAACCACAACCATGTGCAATAATCTAATTACATCCTTGTTGAAGACAATGCATGAGGTGAATGCGGTATCTAGCAGCCCCATTAGCTACTACTTTCAACAGTTATATACTATGGTAGCCTATCTACAAATGAATATCAGAGTGACTGCAACAATGAAAAGCACTGAAGTGCAAACCCTCGGCGTACAGTGACGTGCACGCGTAAGTAAACGCATGCGCCGTACCACTAATTGATGGGCTGGGTTTAGTTTTAGCTGTTACTCGTGGTCTCTTGCAGGCTGGCGCAGAGTCTGACGCGGTCTAACTACACTACTAGATAGCATACGAGAGGCGATACACGCCCTTCGTAGCATCTTCTGGTACCTCCGAGGTACGCAGAGCACGCAGATCGATCAGACCGCGGTAAGCCATCCCGCCCGTTGCGAATTTGCATATTGGCTTTTTCACGCTCTAGCTTTGCAACGGAGCAGTTTCAGAGAAAACCCCACATATTTTCTGACCTTCGTTGCCCGTTAAGCAGGTCGTATCCTTTGTGAGACGAACAAACACCCGAGAAGTGAGATGTAGAGTAACGGACAGACAGACACACAAACAAACCCAACTACTGTAACCCCCGCTGCGCATGCGCGCCGAGGATTAATAAATGCAGTGTTGCCATAAGCTGTTAAAAATAGTGGAAACAAGTGTAAAAATCATTTCTTCAAAATGAAAGGGGGATATAGGGATGGCTTGAAGCACCAACAAGGAAGAAACAAGGGGTCAAAGTTGCACAAAGCTACATCACACCATCCCTATATCTTTGTTTTATTGTTATAAGCAAAGTTTAATATCAAACAATATCTGTACTCTGTATATTAGCCTCTCTACGCATTCCTCGTACGTTATATCCGGTAGTGCACTCACACGGGTACATTAACTATACTTCAGTGCTTTTTGTTTCAAGCAAAACCTATTATAATGCAGAGGGAGAGTCAGGGAAGAAGGCTACTTCAAGACAGTTTCACAAAATCTAGTCTTCCACATGTCAACATGATGTACACACAGCTCATGCTGTGGTGGGTTTCAATATAGCCAGAGGTATACAATTGACTGGCTGTGTTGTGTTCTCTATTGTAGCCATACCTGCTGGGGGCTCTGCATACTCCATCAATGAGTCTGCTAGAGCTGTGTCTCCAATCTAGTCCAGCCTGAATATCATCTTTCTCATTTTCATTGGATCTGTACTCTGTACATAGTACTCTACTGCACTGTCAACATCTCTCTTATCATCAGGGATGGAGAGAAGGTGCAGAGGTAACTGAGGTTACTGGTGTTCTCAAAGACCTTCCTGAGTGCGGCTTTACTTGGAGGGAGTGCTGCGAGGAAAGACAATGACATCATCACTAACTAACTCAACATTTACAAGATCTTTTTCGATGCGCTAGTGATGACGTCATACAAAACTAAAATTACGTCATCTCTCTCAACCTATCAGACAATACCATCATCATCATTCACTGGGCAGTCATAACCTAACAGTTATCATTTTATTTCCTCTGTGTGGGGTGCGCGGCTCGCGGCGACTGTCTTACGTTTCTTCCACGTCCAGACTTGGTCCCCTCCTCCAGTAGCCATCTCTGGGCACCAACACGACTGCTCGATGTGAGATAGGAAGAAGATCGAAGAAGGGACGCGCGGCGTTTTGCTGGATCCCAGACCTCCACGAACAGGAAGGGCGTAGCTGAATGATGCCTTATTTGGAGAAATTTCCCTCGTGATCCTCAACTTTATTGCGCATGCGTACAAAAACTAACTTACTCTGCAGCAATCGTCAACTTCTTTCCCTGTCAAAATTGTCACTGTTGACGTTTGAGACCATTTCTCTATTAAGTCAGGCATGGTATTGATTACTCCTCTAGTTCCAACGATATTATTCCACCACTCCAATAGTATTGCAGTCCCCTCCCCTAGTTTCAACGATTTTGAAGAATCCTCCAAATAAAGCACACCTCTCTATAAACGACACTTGGCTTGGTACATTAGTGTATTGTATAACTTCCCACATATAATTATATCAAATTTATAGGAAATCTCTAAGAACACACAGTACACAATATTGATAATTAGTGTAAACAACAAACAATCTGTATGTGTACAAGAAACACCAACTATAAGTTATCGGCTTGAAAATCACTAAATTCAACCAGACGGCCAGGCAGCCTCTGGTCTGTCTAACACTGTACAGTGGACGATAGCTGTAGAGTGTGCAATTAATTAGTCATGTGTTGAAAACTAGAATAAACGTCTAGCGCGCGTGGCAGAGGATTTTGCACGCGTGTAGAGGAATTAGCTCGCGTGCATCCGTTCCTTCAGTTCAGCTGCTAACAGCCGCTGTTTGTTAGCCAGTTTCAAGTCTCCTACAGACCTGCAGTTGGTGAGGAGAGGGAGAGAGAGAGAGAGAGAGAGAGAAGAGGAAGAAGAGAGAGAGATGTGTAGTAGAACAAACTTCAGTCACAAATAGTTTATACAAACTCATTCTTTGGGTTGTCCTGGGTGCCGTTGTGTTGTTTTTGCCATTGTTGTTGTTTACATGTTTAGCATAAACACTTCACTTTGGTTTGAAGTGGGGAAGCACATTTGGGAAATAGGTGCAAAAAGCAAAGCATTACGACAACCTGAGCTACAAACACACTTCATATTATGGTAACAGCAAAATACTGCATGCACACTCTACATGTAGTAGGTACAAAGGTCAAGCTCCGCCCACCAACCTGAGGTCATTAAGAACATCCTTTGTCTTCCCGAAATAGATCTCGTTCAACGTCTGTCTCATCTTGTTCTCCATGTCCTGGGGGAATGAGAGGGGGTGTGGTCACTGTCCACCAGATCATGTGACTGTCACGTGACCTACCTCCACCATTCTCCCGATGTTGGCAATGTGGGGGCTGGCGTCTGAGACGGCGTGGTCGCTCTCTGCCTGCCGAGTGAGGGATCCTCCGAGATTGATGGTCCCAGAGTCAGCCTTGATCGTCTGGAGCCACAGCATCACCGTCGACGTCAGCTTGTAGTGGGCGTTTCGACCCTGTGCCTTTTCCTGTAACAGAGGAGGCACGAGAGTCTGGGTGTCCTATAGGACGTCCTACAGGACACACCTGGACCTCCACCACGTGGATTGAGTCCCAGCATCCCTTGATCTTCTCCGTGTCGCCGGCCTTCTTGATGAGAATGACACCGGCGAAGCCGTGGTCCAAGTCCCACAGGTAGACTGAGCACACGCCACTCTCAAAATACCTGGGGAAACAGAGTGGGAGGATAAAGGTGGGAGGAAGAGCTACAGTGAAACCTCTGAAAAGGATCCTCAAAGTAAAGGATACTTGGTTCTTCTGTGTAGAAAATAAAGTTGCAACCCCACACCATGAGGGTTTCAACGATTTTCGCATTTTTTGTAGGAACGCGAGTTTGACGAAAAGACAAACCAACTATCCCTAATACTTTGACTGTTGCTGGAGCATGGAATAATCCTATCTCACTTTTCCTATGAACACTCCAGTATTCATGCACCCCTACCCTGGTTTCAATGACTTGGCATTTTTTTGCAGGCACGCAAGGGAACAAAATGGAAAATGAACCATTTGGCTATTGTTGGAGTGTGGAATAATAAACATTATCTTGCTGTAACCATCCCTATCTCGCCTCTATTCTGCTGCCCTACCTCCCTCCACTAACAATTCTCTGTAAGTGTCAAAAGCCTGGTTGGCCTCGATCTCCAGTCTCCGGAGTCGGTCGCTGGGGACGGCTCCGTCAGACAGGGGAGGGTCGTATTTGTTACTCCACGGGGACCTGTGGGGGAGAGATAGGACAGCGTGTATTGGCTGGAGCTCTCATTCTGTACAATGTTTCCTTTCCTTCCCACTCTCCACTCCCTCCACAAATACAATATATACAGTACTCCCTGTACATATATAATACAGACAAATAAGACTGTTTTCCTTCCCACATACATACACAATGTCATACCAGTATTCACATGTAAACAGTAGACAGAACATCTTCTGAAACTTTAAATGCCGCGTTTGTTTACCAGTTACGATATTCTTGTGATGGGGCATTAGGTCAAAGGTACTGGTGTAAATGAGCCACTAATTGCAGGGGTTTACCCACCGACCTGTACGAGTCTCCATCTCTGTCAAGCAGAGGGGCTTGATCACGTGCACCAGCACATCGAGGACGACCCACGACATGGCTACCTCGCTCAGAGTCGCTCTACAGGAGGGCCTCAAGGAGATAAGAGTGGGCGAAGTCACCACTGCACCAGCGTGCAAAATTAGGGTGCAAAGGTCATAGACAACACATGACGTAATAGCTGAGAGTAGACCACGCCTACTCTTCAGAGAAGGCAAAAGGGTTTGTGTGGTAGTAGTCAGAGAGGTCAGTAGAGAGGTAGCCAGAAGCTAGAAGATGGAGGAGACGAGGCAGCAGTTGTGTCGGGAGCTGGCGGCTGCGGTCAAAAAGGTGAGATTGCGAGACGTTCAGTATTCTCACTTTTCCGCTTGCCTCTGATGCTCGCCTCAGTTGCAGGGTGAGCACGTTATGAAGAAGACGAGTCCAGAGAGGTGAGTGGTAGGTAGTAGTTATTATTGTCCCATGTTCTGAATTGCTTAGGATAAGCATATAGCAATGACTATATTACGATGTCCTCACAAGAGATTGTCCTATATATAGAAAGTATGTACATACATTAGCATTGTACACGATGGGTCAGTGGCTCTCTATTGGATCTGGTTTATGCAGTAGTAAAGATGGTGGGTCACTGCATTGTACTATTGTGGTGTGATTGCTGTATTCACGCTCTCCATTCACCTGAGAATATAATCCCTCC